ATTCTGACATACTCTTTAGTTGGATTGAAGCTTTTGCTACCCTTTTGTAGTTTTTCAGAGTGGATGGAGTGACTGTCATCATCTTTCGGTGTCCTTGAAATTAACTTCAGAGATGGAAATGAATGAATCAACTTTTCCTGCTTAAAATATGCTGTCAAATAAATATATAACCCTGTGATATATACAAAGAAGTGATTCCATCTGCCTTGTTCCTCAAACACAAAATAGCTACTTCAGTGTTATTGGAAAGTAAATCGCTATATGTATTTTGAAGAATCTTCCTTCTTATGAAATCCAAGTCAGAACACCTTTCTTAGCATTCTCTTCCGATGCCAACTTCTAAGGATAAGGGAAATATAGCTTTGTAGATACCACAAAGTTAGGATTGATCTTTTCAGTCTAAGGATAAGGGAAATATAGTTTTGTAGGTACCCACAAAGTTAGGACTAATCTTTTCAGTCTCACAACTGGAATATGTTAGAACCATGTGATCTAACATGAATAAAAGCATGGATCACTCAGAATGGTTTGTGTTTTGTTTTTTTTGCTGTAGTTGCAAGTGTATAATCTTTTGTCAAGTTTTTACACACTAATACTTCCATACTCTACTCTGCACATAAAAGCCTATCTGCCATTCTTGAAGAGGAATGTATATGGATCATACATAGTTGTATATGGATTATAGCTTTGAGCTTCTTATGACGCAGTAAAGGAATTATTTGCCACTTATCACCAAACACTACATGCTGTATAGCATAATTTTATCTTCCTTTCATTGTTATTCTTTACAACTTTTTAAATATATGTGATACTACAGTTCATATTTATTATTTCAGTTTTAAATAAATTCAAAGTCCTTCCTTGCCCCATTAATAAGAAACTATTTATTATAGTCATTTCTGCATAAAGATAAAATATAATATTTACTTGCTCTAGGTAATATTTGTTCCAGGTGTTAATCCATTTTGTTATTCATTATCTTAAGGATGGTCAAAATCCAGTACACATAAGCAATTTACTGTAATTGTAACTGAAGATCTGTAACTAAGCCTTGGTCAAAGTACATAACTCTGTTCGTTATAAAAGAATTCCTGTAAGAATACCCAGGGCAAAAGATAAATAGGTTGCAATCTTACAGTTTGGAAAAGAGTTCTGTACTGTGTATAACTGACTTTTTATTGTGTGTATTTGTGCAATAAACTAAGAGTAAGTCCTTGCAACAAACTTGTTGCGGAATGCAGACACTTATTTTACTGCATATAGAGGCTGTTTGACTTCTAGAAGTTCTGGGTGCCATAAACTTTAAAAGTAGGAATGATAAAAGAAAAAAAAAAGAAATAGTACATAGTATAAAAATCAAACCCAAGACACCAGAAGAAAATTATCAGAGGCTGGACAACCTACACACCTCCAAGCCTGTGAAGGAAGCTAGATTATCAAAGGCTTGAAATTATTGCAGGATTGGAACCATACAGCTCTTTTCCAAATCCTTTGGACCAATTTAAACTCCTTGGTTAAGAAGTCTTCATTATGTATATATTTTTATATGGTAGAACCATTCAGCAACTTAGTTTAAATTGTATGAACCCAAACAGTTTAACAATATAATATAGTATGGCCTCAGCTTGTTTTGTTTTATTTTATTATTTTTGTTACAAATAAATGCATTTTTTCAGCCTTTTCTATAAAATCTCTTAGTTTTTTTAGATCTGGATTACAGTATTTTAAGATTTATTCATTTTTCAAATATTTCCAATTCAGTTATTCCATGTGTAAAAAATGATTAGCACTAAATACATTTCTGTAAAATTTGAGAAATATACTTTTTTCAAATCTACATTTTGGGATGATGATGCCATTTAATGTTATTTCCGTGTATTTTTCCAATACCTTTTGATGGTGCTATCTAAGGTAAATAAATGGAACAAAATTTAAAGGAGTTTAAACCTACAGGAACTTTCCCTAGCTAGAGCTGAGAGCTGTCCAGATGTATTAATATAATCTATAATGTTTATTGGAGTCCAACACTTTTGGTATAGTCACTTTGCAGTGAATTTATTGAATGTTTCTACTATAAGATTCTCCTCATTTTATTAGGAATCATTACATTTTATTTTAAGAGCAGGAACAGTTCGTAAAAGATGGTTATCAGTGATATATTATGAAAGCAGAATAACTTGATTTTTCATTGGGCTTGGGAAATAAGTTTTTTTTTACTGAAGATATTGTGTTCAATTTTGTGTTCATGCTAATGGGAAATATAAATCTTCCACCTGTGTGCTTATAGCTAAGGCAAGGCAATTTGTGTTGTCAGCCAATCCTGTTTTGTTCATAGCATTAATGAGCTGGCTGTAATGCATCCTGTTTACTTTGTTCTTTAGACTTTTCAACACATTGTGAAATAGGAAGGGAGGAAGAAGTCCTTCTGTGCTTGGTACTCAGATGTGGAGTGTTCAAAGAGATTTCATATTTACTGTATATATTTTGTGTGCTCTAGGAGACAATCATATAAAATAATAGGATGCTAGCACTTTGTATTGTTTTACACATTCACTGTTAATAATAAAAATATAGTGTTTCTCATCAAAATGTAGATTATGCATACAAGGTTTTCTGAGTTTTCAGAGTGAATAAGTCTAATATTTTGTTTTATCCTTTGAAATGTTACTGTGTGCAATACAAACCAAGGAATGATAAAAAGAAACCTAAGCTTCATACTACTAATTATTGGAAGACGTATATATTAATCTGTGATATAACTATCTCTTCGGCTTACTTTATATTGTATTGTGCCAGGTAAAAGTCAAATAAAAACTCTTCTTGGTTAAATCTGATATTGGAATAGGGTTAAAGCTTTCTCTTGACTTTGATCATTAGCAGGTTTGAATGTTTTGAACAAGTTGAAGAACATATTCTGTTGGGGTTTTCCTTGAAACTCCTTGCCGCCCCATCCATCCCTGACACGCACGGTCCCATCCCTGACACGGCACGAAGGAACAGCCCTCAGGAACAAAGTGAGAGAGATGTCAGAACGGATGATAAACAAACTGGGATAACGTGTATGAAAGGGGACAGGAAGGTAGATATTATAAAACAAGGTGGGACACCCAGATTACAACCACTAAGGGGGAGGAGGATCGATCATAACTCAGTTGAAGCACGCAATGGGGCCAGAAGAAAATTGAACGATCCATGCCCCACATCTAGTAAAGAAAGTTGTGTGCATAGATGTGGGGGAATGGAGATAATTGCCATCAGTGGGGGAGTTGAGGGGATCCTTCCCAGCCCCAGAGTTAATGATAGAGGCATATGCGGGGGAGTATGGAGAGGAGATGGGAAGGAGCCACACGCTGACGGAAGAGATGCACTTGGAATGCAAAAGCACGGCCAGCTGGGACCGGTTACGCAATCTCGAAGCCGGATGCAGGCAATTAGGGATCGTATGTAAGCTTCTCCCAGAAACTGCCTTTTTTAAACCCTGATGATGTTGGGAGCACCCGACGAAAGCTAGGTTTGTTTTATTAAATATTTCCTATTTATTCTCTTGGTGATCGAGAGGGGAATGAGGAGAGACGTCCGGACCGCTACGGTTGGAGGAGATGGGGGGGAGAAACCAACCGTGATTTGACTGAAATGCTTTGTAAGACTTGTGAAACATCTGATAAAGGGAACCCCAGGCGCATAATTGAGGGTGCGACCAATGGTGGAAGTGTTGGGGGGGCCCTCCAGCCCCAGTATGGGTGATAAAGGGGTGTGTAATGAGAAACGGAGAGGCGATGTAAAGGGTTTACGCACGAGAAGAAGAAATGCATCTGGAGCGCAGGAGCACAGGAAGCTGGGCCCGATTACACGGTCACGCAGCCAGATGCAGGCACTTGGAGGCTGCATATAAGTTCCTCCCATAACCGCCTTTTTTGAACCCTGATGATGTCGGGAGTGCCCGACGAAAGCTTGGTTACCTTGTATTTTAAATGTTTTTAAATGCTTTTAAATGTTTTTAATTATTCTCTTGGTGGTCCGTGTTATTTTTGGTTTTGATATATATATATATGTTTTCGTAGATTTTCACGGGTACAGATATGCAGATCTTGGCATATTCGGGTCTTTTCCCGTGTAAGATTGAGAGTATCTTGGCGACGATTATATTATAATCACAAGTGCTTAAAATATTATCAGCAACATATTGTCTGGGTTTCAGTGTCTAGTTTACTAATACATATTAAGTTCCTTTCTGTCTATCTCGTTTTTCTAGCCAATTATAAAAAGTATCCCATGTTTTAAAATAAACTGAATCTTCTTTCTCTTTCATTTTCAATGTCAATCTATCCATTTCTGCACACTCTAAGGTTTTTTTAATTAATACTTCCTCCGCTAGTAAATCTTCATTTTTCCAATATTGAGCAAATACAATTCTTGCTGCAGTTAATATATGTAAAATTAAATATATACACTCTTTTTATAATTACCTACAATTATGTCTAACAAAAATAATTCTGGCTTAAAATCTATATGTTTTTTCATCATTTTCTCTAACCATGTATGTATTCTTAACCGGAAGTGGACAGGTTGATAGGAAGAGGCTGAACACGCTTTTGGACAAGAATAAATTGTTTTATTAACAGGTAAATTGGACATGTATCCAAATAGTCATGCTGCTCTCAACACCATTGCTTTCAGGATCACTTCCTGGTTTGCATCATATTTAAATTAAAAGGTAAAAACTATGATTGGCCTAGGACTAGGTAATATGGGTTATTTATTTAATTGGCCATTGATTTGCATAATTTGTTTTTCATTCTTCTGGTTAGATTGTGTCAGTGATATGTGATGGGTTATGAAAAGATTAAAAGATTAAAAAATATCTTCATGTTTTTCAATTAATGGAACCAATTTTCAAGTACTGACATAATATTTAAAAACCAACAAAATGATGTTCCTAGAATATAGTATATAATACCTCTTGTTTGTCTATATGACAATATGAATGATTTTATTTCTAGATCCTTGGTGGAAAGATGGATGAGCACTTACCAGAACAGCACAATATTCCAAGGATGGTCAACCTATCAAAGACTAGTAATGAATCTTCCAACTTACCAAGTGTTGAAGAAGCTGACAAACAGTTCTATATTCAGGATGATGTACATATTGCAGACACAAGATGTGAAAAAAGCACTTTAAGCATAGAAAATGAAGAGTTAATACTGGATCCCACCTTACCATCTATTGATTTAAATGAGGATGGAGATGTAATTGAAGCACAACCTGCTCCAGATTTTAATGGAGATTGCTGTGAGTTAAAAACAAAAGAATCCAAGGAAGCAGATTGCTTGCCCAGTGGACAAGGCGAACAACAGGTTTTGAAAACTGAGGACAAAAATCAATCCTTGACAGACCTATTTCAGGATCCTGTGAAAAGACCTTATGGGGTCTGTTCAGAGAGCCCATATGACACGGATTACACTAAGAACCTAATCTCAAATCTAGAGAATGCTTCCTCTCAGGACGCTTTGCTAGAAGAAATTGAATCTGAGCTCCTGTCAACAGATTTGTTGAAAAATCCCACACTTTCAAACGGAATGTGCAATACGAAGACTACATTGGCTCTATTTGAAAAATGCATTCAAGATAAATATTTACAGCAAGAGCACATAATAAAGAAGTGAGTACTGTGTGAATAGCTGCATACTGCCGCTTAAACATTTTTATGGTCTGTAATAGATTTAAAGTTTTGTCTGGATAACCATAATGATATGATCATACTGCAACTGATAGTTGGACAAATATTTTTGAAACTTTGATTTTTAGGAGTGCCTTAAGGTAACCCTTTGGGAATGTGAGGGCCAAGATGCTTGTTAATCTGCGAAAATTGGGCAATGTCAGCCCAATGTCTATGTTAGTCATATTTTTCATTGTACTTTTTGCTGGTGAGGAAATACTTTGCATTAAAAGTAGAATGAAAAACCTTCCATTGTCAAGCATTTCTTTTGCTATAATGGGATCCTGAGTAATTGGTTAAGAAATAAATTGTAGTCTAAAACAACATAGGCTGCCTAAAATTATGCAGTATCCCTGCTAAGATGCATTGTCATCAGATATGACAATTAGTGTAACATACTACATAAAAATAGATATTGGATATATATGTTTACATTAACCTTGAATTAAAGTTAGATAGGGATAATTACCTATAGAAGATGAACTTACAATAAAAGGGGTAACTGGAAAGAATTTAGTCTAATATGAATTGAAGCCCTTTGCAAAATCACCATCGTATCTTCTGTTTTATGTTAGAGGAGAGTTGCTTAATTGGCTTCATAGCTAATTCTTAACTATGAAATTACCATTATCCAAAGGTTGAAATGATACTGTAAAAACTTAGCAGTAAACACAACAGTTGCTAAAGCATAGCAACCAAACATAATATATAGTCCGCCTATCAGAATTTTTGTCAGTTGATGGAGCATTTGTTGTTGCATAGTAACATATACAAAGTCAACTATAATCTACATTGGTTGTACATTTTTTAGACATGGTTGCGAATTTAAAATAGAGGCACTGAATGGGTATTGCGATCCCCCTGTGATTAGTAATGTATACTTCATGAATTTTTCAAGGTAATTGGATCCAAGAAGATTTAGTTATTTTTATAAGTTTGATTTGAGTAGCCATCTTGAGTCATATACTGAGTGGTAGATATATAAATAGATTAAATATAAATGCTCTTGGACTAATCAATACTTTCACCCAAAGCACTCTGCAGAGGCCAGAGAGTGAACTTTTTTTAATTGATATTTTTTATTAGATTTATCAAAAGTATATAATATAAATAAAAATAGTGTAAAAATGGGGAAGGCGAAGGGAACGAAAGAGATATAGGGTAAAGGAGAAGAAAAGAAAAAACGGATTCTTTTTAGTGCAGTAGAGTAACATAATAACGTTATAGCTTCAACTTTTTACTTTTACATACTTAATATGTACTAGCCATTCTATAACAACAAACTTATATAATTAGCAGAATCCAAAGTCAACCTGGATAGTGAACCTTTGAGAAGCTATACAGGATCCTGCTTCCTTTTTTTTTTTTGTCTTCTAGCCTAATAGTTTGGATATATTTCCAAACATGTTATTTTTGCCATGAATGTAGCTGTTCTAGGTGCCCAGGTTGTGCTGATTTGTTGTATGACTTTCGAGCTTTTTCTATCCAGACAGTTTCTTTAATATACAGGTAGTCCTCTATTAAGACCACAATGGAGCTCAAAATTTATGTGCTAAGTGAAACATTCGTTAAGTGAGTTTTGCCCCATTTTATGGCTTTTCTTGCCACAGTTGTTAAGTGAACCATTGCATTTGTTAAGTTGGTAACATGGTTGTTAAGTGAATCTGGGTTCCCCATTGACTTTGCTTGTCAGAAGGTCACAAAAGCTGATCACATGATCTCCCCCCCACTGCAGCTGTCATAAATATGAACCAGTTGCCAAGCATCCGAATTTTGAACATGTGACCATGGGATTGCTGCAACAGTCATGTAAAAAATAGTCATAAGTCACTTTTTTCAGTGCCATTGGAACTTAGAACTGTCACTAAGTAAAACTGTTGTAAGTCAAGGATTACCTGAAACTCTGCAATTTTCATCTAAAAGCTGTCCGTCCACTAGTTCCAGGAAAATAGTGTGGGCTATTGTTTTTTTTTCCTGAAAGGCAATCGAAATACAACTTTACTGTTTGAGATAATAATAATAACAACAACAACAACAACAACAACAACAACAATAATAGTAAAGTTGGAAGGGACCTTGGAGGTCATCTAGTCCAACCCCCTGCTCAGGCAGGAAACCCTATACCATTTCAGACAAATGGCTGTCCAGTCTCCTCTTAAAAACTTCCAGTGTTGGAGCATTCACCACTTCTGGAGGCAGGTTGTTCCACTGGTTAATTGTTCTAACTGTCCAGACGTTTCTCCTTAGTTCTAGATTGTTTCTCTCCTTGATTAGTTTCCATCCGTTTCTTCTTGTCCTGCCTTCAGGCGCTTTGGAAAATAGCTTCACTCCCTCTTCTTTGTGGCAGCCCCTGAGATATGGAACACTGCTATCATGTCCCCCCTCATCCTTCTCTTCATTAAACTAGACATACCCAATTCCAGCAACCGTTCCTTATATGCTTTAGCCTCCAGTCCCCTAATCATCTTTGTTACTCTTCTCTGTACTCTTTCAACATCTTTTTTACATCGTGATGACCAAAACTGGATACAGTATTCCAAGTGTGGCCTTACCAAGGCATTGTAAAGTAGTATTAATACTTCACGTGATCTTGATTCTATCCCTCTGTTAATGCAGCCTAGCACTGTGTTGGCCTTTTTGGCAGCTGCAGCACACTGCTGGCTCATATTTAAGTGATTGTCCACTAGGAGTCCGAGGTCCCTCTCACAGTTACTACTATTGAGCAAGGTACCCTCTATACCAGGGGTAGTCAACCTTGGCTCTTTTATGACTCGTGGACTTCAACTCCCAGAATTCCTGAGCCAGCTTAGCTGGCTCAGGAATTCTGGGAGTTGAAGTCCACGAGTCATAAAAGAGCCAAGGTTGACTACCCCTGCTCTATACTATACCTGTACATTTGGTTTTTCTTGCCTAAATGTAAAATGTTTTGAAGTTTTGATCTGATTATTGGTTTTGAAGGTACATAACCCAGGAAAATTAAGGAAGTGCTTAATTTGTTCCCTTTGCAGTAGTGAAACTCTTTCAAAGTGTCATTTGCTTTGATATGCTACTTAATTTAAAATTCAACCAATCAGTTTATCATAGGAGACTTGGTAATATGCTTGTTAGCCAATGTAAGAAAACCAGAAGGTGGGTTTTTTAAAATCTGACTCTAGCTAACCATGTATGGATATGTCCAGTTATGGAGTCCCAGCTCTGCCAGTAAATAAAAAGCACCACACAGGATGTATTACCCTGATGCCTTTTAAAAAGTTAATACAAATTCACAAAGGACAGTTCTATTTCTGGATATTAACAAGAGATAAATTTTGGAATTTAACATATTCCACAGTTTCTGGTCATTACGTAATACAGGTAGTCCTCGACTTATGACCATAATGGAGCCCAACATTTCTGTTGTTAAGTGAGACATTTGTTAAATGAATTTTTCCCCATTTTATGATCTTTCTTGCCACAGTTGTTAAGTGAGTCACTGCACTTAATATGTTAGTAACCTGGTTGTTAAGTGAATCTGGTGTCCCTGTTGACTTTGCCTGTCCCAAAACTTGATCATATTACCTTGGGTGACAGCAACGGTCATAAATATGAACCAGTTGCCAAGCATCTGAATTTTGATCACATGATTATGGGGATGCTGCAAAGGTCTTAACTGTGAAAAATGGTCATAAATCACTTTTTCCAGTGCTGTTATAACTTTGAACGGTTACTAAATGAACTGTTGTAAGTAGAGGACTACCTATATATTCAGCGTATGAAGCTCATTTAGAATGTTTTAAAATTAAGCAAAATTTACATTTAGGCAGCAGCCTTCCCTAATCCTTATTATGCTTAATTCAGGCATGGCCCTGTTTTGTGTGCCCAGTTCAATGAATCTGAGTGTAACAACATGAGAAATATTTTTCGGTTGGTTTCTTTGAGATCTAAGATTTTCATCTTTTTTTTATATTATTTTGTATCTTCTTTTGTTGATTTTCCTTCTTCCTCTTAATAATTTTATAGCCTTTTAATATTAGCTGTTTCAAGAACAACCTGTAATTCTAAAAACAAAGGTATGTGGAGAAACCTAACATCTCCTGTGGACATTTCTTTTTTTTTTTTTTTTTTTTTTTTTTTTTTTTTTTTTTTTTTTTTTTTTTTTTTTTTTTTTTCCTTTTTTCCACTATACAACAAAAATAAAACTAAAAAAAAATGTTTTTTCCCTTAACAAAACTGTGTTATACATCTCATATATATTATGTACAATTTATTTACATCAGTAATCATGTCTTTTTCTTTCTTTGTTCTAGCCAATCATAACATTTGTTCCATATTTCATAAAATTCTGTTGCCTCCTTGTCTTTTAATTCTAGTGTAAGTTTATTCATTTCCGCGCATTCAAGAATTTTGCATATAATCATATCATTTGTAGGTATGTTTTCCCCCTTCCAACACTGAGCATATACTATATGGGCTGCTGTCAATATATATATAATGATGTGCTGGAGTTGCTTTTTTATCTTTAAATTTATTATACCCAGAAGAAATAGTTCAGGTTTGAATTCAATTTGCACCTTAGTTATCTCCTGTATCCAGTTCCCTATCCATTCCCAATAGCTCTTTGCTTTAGTGCACAGCCACCACATGTGATAGAATGTCCCTTCCTTATTTTTACATTTCCAGCATTCCGGATTCATATTTTTATACATTTTGGCCAATCTCGCCGGTGTTAAATGCCATCTATAAAACATTTTGTATTGGTTTTCCCTAT